CAGTTAAGAGGTCGCGCGTGGAGTCATCACCCCAATCGCCTGCTCGTACCGAAGGTTTGAAACAGCTTTCCTCTGATGAAAGTCTGCCGCCGTATTGTAAGTTGCTTGCTGACGTTTTAATCGATACGAAGAAGGAATTGGCCGATCTGGCCCGTCAATGTCGTGATATTTTAGCCGAGAACAGATCTTTGATAAAGGAAAACTTGTTGTTAAGGAAACAAATCAGTTCTTTAATGTCATGCAACACGTTATCTGAGTCTCAAGGGCATGTCGAAGTTGCAAGTTCTAACTTGATCTCCTCTGATACCGCATCCGCAGTCGATGCTGATCTACAGCGTTCGATCGTCATAGCTGGCGTGCCAGAGTACCGATCCCTTAACTCTGTTGAAAGAGCAAACCACGATTATCAGTGTATTTGTTCTATTTTGAGCTTTTTGGATATAGAGTGCATACCTTCAGTTGTATACCGCATGGGAGTTCGAAATTCAAATCGACCTAGACTCATAAAGGTAGTTATGCCATCTAGTAAATTCCAGCGACAAGCGGTCCAGAGAGCGCCACGTCTGCGCTTCTTCTCTCATAAGGGAGTCTATCTACGTCCTTCCCTAACTAAAGAAGAGAGGGAGCGCAGACGTAAGGAGCGTCTGGGCAGCTTGTCTTCCCCTCAAGATGTTAATGTTGGTAGTGCCCCAGTTTCGTTATCAAGCAGTTCTCATCGTGATCAGAGTACTGATGTCAACAATGTTTCAACGAATGTGGTACGTGCGGGAAACCTCTCATAGTTCGTCGGTCTCGTGAAGTCGGGGCTAGGTGCATGTTGTCTAATGTCAGGTCTTTTGTAAGAAATTGTAGCTTTATTATAACACTATTACTTCAGAAGAATTTTGACTTGGTCTTTCTATCGGAATCTTGGCTAAATTCTAATGTTGAGCTTTGTTCTCTCTTAGGTGTTGCAAGTTCACAGTATAATAGCGTTAGGTGCGATCGAGCACATAAAAAGGGTGGTGGAGTTCTAATTCTGCTCAAACATTCTATTCCTCACAATGTCGTTTTTAAAGAGTCGGTTAAGA